AATAATAATACAATGTTGAATGACTGGTCCAGAATCATGTCCGAGTCCCTTTTCTACTGCWGGTATCACTCATGGTCCACCATAGCCATGGCCGCCTCTCCCACTCTTCACACTCATAGGCCGAGGCTATGGCGGACTACTAGGCCTTGCTCCGATGTGCAAAGGACAACCCAGAACAGCTATGGCTGCTCCGACTCAGGCCGCCATGCCCAGCCCTGCCCTGAAGCTTCTTGGTGTAGTTCCCCGGCTGGGGACTCCTTGCTGCAGCGCCCACCAAGGTGATGAAGATGGCCGCCACCATAGCCAGGTAAGTACCCCTGGCGCTCCTCCCCCTTCCTCCTTCCTTCCTCCTTCCTCCCTCTCATCCTTCTTCTTCCTCCCCAGCAGCGCAGCTCCAACCCAGCGCTGCTCCTTCTAGCGCTCCACCAGTGTGTCGCCAAACTTGCACACCGAAAAAGAGGCCGGGTCTACCGCCCGGCCAGAAGATATAGCGGCCTGCTTGCCTCCTGGCCGGTGACTTCCAGGCCGCTGGCCTTCCCAAGCAACCGTTACCCCCTCCTCTTTTTGGAGGGAACATCATTGCAGACTCTGATATTGCCCCTACAGGCCCTAGACTCAGACTGGTACCTGCTACACCTAGCCTAGACTACCGGACTCTAAAAATGCCACTTTTGTCTTCTTCTGCTCGGCCTCTGGTACCTGCATATTTACCCCCCTACCGGGTGCGGTACCGGCCTACCCTCTACTTGAGTGCTTTTTCCCTGCTGCAACCCTTCAAAGCCACGACCACAGGTAAGTACCGGCCCTGAGGGCCCAACGAACGAACAAGTGCCCTGGCGGGCCACACACACACACTCATACCAACCAGCACTCAGACAGGCACGGTCACACACGCAAGCCAACCAGCACTCAGACAGACATGCAGTCCAGCAAGCACACACACACAGACTTAGCAGGCAGGGAACTCAGTAGGGCATTCAGTCTATGAGCAAAACTCAGAAATCAGCTGTGTGTTTCAGTCCGTGTTAGGACGGGTTATCACAGACTGGATTTTTCCAGAAAAGTGCAGAGTTCTTGCACAGCACAAAACAAAAACGATGCTGCAAAGGTAACGGCTCCCCAAACAAAACACGCAAAGATAAAGGAAAAAAAATGTTCGGTGGTATTCCCTGCTATTTTCTTGCACGCGGTTTTTCGTCTGCTGTCAGGCTCTTCTTTTTCTTATTGTGAAAGAAGAGGCATATGATAGGGCAGTTCCTTAYGCGTTTTCTTTCTTTTGTGCTTTTTTCTTTTTCTCTTTTTGCGGGCGAAGCCGCAACGGGTCATCTAGAATAGCGGTACATGTCATGGATGGCGAAGAAATGGGGGGATGGGGAATGGGGCAGGGCTAAGGTGGAGTGTGGAAGGCCCGGAATCGCGCCGCGTGGCAGCGCCACGACGAGCGATTTTTCTCTATTTTTTTTTGTCCCCCCTTAGGTGTGCTTTTGTGTGTGTGTGTGTGTGTGTGTGTGTGTGTGTGTGTGTGTGTGTGTGTGTGTGTGTGTGTGTGTGTGTGTGTGTGTGTGTGTG